AAGAAGTGAATGAATAACTGTTAATAAGATAAGAGCTGATTTCATTTGGATAAGATTTTAAGAGGATAAAAGCTGCCCTTCACAATACAGCTGACCTCTTTGTTAAAAATCAATGTTAAACATGTAGAGAAATACACCCCTCTGTAATACTCCAGAGAGTTCTTTGAAAGGTGAATAATAAAAGCTGTTTTTTTGTTGCGCTAATGATCTTTTAAACATATTCTTTGCCCTTTTCTTCGTGCCACTGCGATGACCAGTGCTGGGGGGCAAGTTCTTTGTGAGGGAACGTAAGAGTCAGAGCAGATGTACCGTCTGCTTATCTGCCTCATGGCTGCGTATCCCTGCATGTTCTTAACTTGCATGTTTTCAGTGATAAAAAAGGCCAGAAGCAACATCACTTTTTTTTTCCACTGTGCCTACAAACTTCAACATTAATATTAACACCCACACGCTTATACAACCCCACATGAACCGCACACACACAGAAAAGCAACTGTGACTGGACTAAAATGTGAAACATGCATTTATTTAACAGCTTTAGATACAGAAGCATAAAATACAGAGATTCTGGTGGATATGACCTTTGCGCCTTTCCATCAAAACACAAACAGACACCTGCACACTACAGGCATGCATGTGTCTCCATGGACACACAATGCATGCCAACTATGAACAATACCACGTCCAATAGGTATCCAATTTTGACCACTGTGTTTCTCTGAAAAAGATTGGAGTCTTTGTGTGCTCCATGTTTTCAGGGAACAAACATAGATGCTGAGCTACAGGGTCAACATGCAATTTAATCTCAGAGGGGCTCTCCATTCTTACAAGGCTACTAGACATGGAAGGAGGCAGGGCCAAAAAGACAAGAGTGTTAACCCTTATCTGAACCCAACTACATGCAGGTTAACCTACCGCTGAAGAACACGTATTTCATGGGAACACTGGTCAAGTTCGTACTGCTGCAGTGACTCACAGTAGCAAAGACTGCTGGTACTCTCAAAGGAAAAATCCTACATTTATCATGAGGAGATTGTCTCCCAATTGCGTTTTGTGTAAAAAAAAAAAGCAGAGATGAGGATCTATCTGCGTCAATAGAACAATGCTATAGTATAAGAGCATACTGCTATTTATTCTCCATTCTTCCCATTTCAACTCTGGATATGTCTTTGTCACATGTCAGGTGGCTCTACACTATGTATTTAGCCAGACAGGCTAGATTTATACGAAGCTGTGATAATGTGGGCGATAAATTGTCCTGAAAGGCCATAGACGATATGAAAAGAAATTAAGGGCTTGAGTAGTAATTGTATAAAATCTTTTCACAAAGACTGACTGTTGTCTGACACATCAGTTTGACTTTCTTTTGTGTTAATTTAAACGAAAAAAATATGTTTTATGATTTATATAGCCAAGGGGGCACTTTTTTTGGATTTGTCTTGCCCCCTAAAGTGCTGCTAATACAGTGAGTGCCGGGGGATATTGAACAAAAAGCCATTAGGGATGGTTGAAAAGGAAGCTCATTTTTAACATAGCGTTATCAATTTGCAGTCTTCTCTATTCCTGCTGATTTGAATGTCGAAAGGGGAGAGAGGGCGTCAGATAAGGAAGCAGGAAGGTCATTATTTCAAGGAGAATTGAGTGACATGAATGTTGTCATTTTTGCAGACGGTCATGGTTTACTGCAGTGCTTTTATCAGAGTTTGACATCAATATCAGCAGTTAACCCTGATATTCAGTAGAAAACACAGCAGGGGGGGGAAGCTCCCTCTCAGTCCTTGAGTGCCCCGCTGCCATATCAGTAACATGATGACGGTGCATTGTTTGCTCTGCCAAATGCCAAAGCCTTTTTTCCCAAGGTCTTTTGATTAGTCTAATCAGGACATCACTGCCGTAATGGCATTATTAACAGGATATTGGCCCCAAGGTGTCAAACAGAATATCATTTAATATCACCGTGAAAAGATTGATTTGAGGTGAATATGTGAATGGATCATTAGCACGTTTATTATAGGCAAGTGTTAAACGAAGGTATTAAAATATGAAATCACATTCAAAGTTAAAACACATTTTACACACACATTAATCCAGCACAAGACTCAGTCTTTTCGATTTAAGTATTCTCTGTGTGTAACTAAGTGTTTTTCTTTATACTTCTGTCTGTCTTGGCCAGGTTTACCGAGGCAACATATTTATTTTTTACTTACTTTGTAATTTCAAATTCACACTACATACTGTATGTCCGGAGTATCGCTGCAATCCCAGATATCTTATTCCATTTCATCTTGTGACTGAGTGCATTGGATGCCATATGTTAAGTATAACGCTCTGTAACTCTTAGCAATATTATAATACTACTTTAGTAGGGTTTTATTGTATGAATTACAGTGAATTTGACACCACTCCATCTGTGCATAAAGCTGTTCTGAAGCCTTAAACTTGGAATGGGAAAATGAGCAACACTCCAGACTTTTGTATAAATAATTGATAACATTATTTAAATACACTCTATACCACGCATTAATATTGAAATCTACAGTGATAATATGTATGCTACCTATCAGTTTCATGGATACAGAAAATAGTTTTTATTCCAGTGCTGCAGTGTCAAACCACACAATGGTTTCTTATTAAAAGAGGCCCGATTATGCTTTTTAGGTTTTTGCTTTTCTGTATTGTGCTATATAGCTTTGTGTGCATGTAAATGGTCTGCAAAGGCTAACATCCCTGTGTTTCCTCCAGAGGGAGTTTCTCTCCCACACACTCTGCCTGAAAAGCCTCCATTGGACTCCTGTGTTTACTTCTTCTTCATAATGACATCACTATAATCTACACTACAATCAGAGCAGACTGGGCTCTGGTTTCAGACAGAGGGTGAAAAGAGGTGGTGCAGCACAGGCAATATGAGAGAATAAAGAGCTTTTTGAACATTGAAGCATGGAGACATGTCACAGTAGAGGAACAAAATAGAAATATGAACCAGAAAATAAGCAGAATAAGGACCTTTTAATCAATGTACACTGTTTCTCATGTATAATAATTAGTGAATGAGAAGACAGGACTACAGTGAACTCTCACTAATAACAGTCACTCACACCATATTAATACGTTTGACCTCGATTTGATATAAGGATTTGAATTCTAAGCAGATAGATGGATGGATGGAAGAATGGTTGAGTTAGATTTTTGTGTCAGCTTAAGACGTATAATCACTGACATCATTACAGATAACTGGGACATCTTCTGATGGAGTAATGCACCGAGACTGTGAGAGTCTTACGCAACGTCTGATACAAATCCCTTTTTGTTTCTTGAGTTTATGACAGCTTCATGCAGCAAACTGTAGGCTCAGTAGAGGTCTTACTGGAAATGTCATAGGGTTGTAGTGTATGCATGGGGTTTTAAATAAACCCCCAAAATAACAATTCTCAATTGTATGTTTCAGTTGAACAAATAATATTTTGTATTCTCGACAAATCAAATGAAAGCACAGGTATATATAAAGCAAATGCCGTGTAGGGATATATCTTAATACTCCTCAAGTAGACTTATTTAAGAAATGCCATTACCCTGACTGGCATGGCATTTGTTTATTTTATATTATATATTCTATAATGTATTTTACAGTAGTAGGATTGTGTATGTGGAATAGAAGCAAAATAAACTAGTGCTCCAAACACATATTAATCCACAGCTGAAAAATAGTTCCTTACAATTGCACTATTTATTTTGCCGAACTTTACAGTTCTCTGCTGCATAATTCAGGATTTATGGCTTCGGAATTGTCTTTTTTTTTAAGTAGTAGCTACAAAGGGTGAGGCTAATGCAGGACACCCAAAACTTTTATTCTGAAAATCTTGGTGAAGGTTTAAAAAAAAAAAACACAGCTGAACTGTTGGGATTAATAAGAAAGAATCTGTCAACAGAATGTAGGTCTGAAGGTGATCATATCTCTGGAAATAATATAGTAAGAAGGAGAAAAATATTTGCTATTATGTTTTAGGAATTCAGAGTGCTCTGCAAGTCGCTGTAATCCATAGATGGTGTTGATAAATTATGATGACACAGTAATGATGATTAAGATGATCACAAATCAGACAATTATAAGGATGAAAATGATGTGATGGAAGATTTTGCCAATTGCTCTGCAGGATTGTTTTTCTTTGTTGGCACTGATGTTAAAAGCAAATATGGCTGTTGGTGCCATCTGGTACCTTATGGTATGTTAGGGGATTAGTCACTCTCAACATAAATTGTCTAAGGGAATTTCCTTTGTCGTTTCAGTATGGCCACCGCCCCCCAACAGCGAGCTCTAGTCTATTTTCCATCTGCATGCATTTCCTCTTCAGGAGCATATTTCCAATTTCCTTTCATCCTCATTCTGGCACTTGGTATGTCAGCACATTTGTTATGCATAGTTTTTCATGGGAGGATACAGATACTTCACATGTGCACACACACACACACACACACACACACACACACACACACACACACACACACACACACACACACACACACACACACACACACACACACACACACACACACAGCTGAGCTAAATTGCTGCTATCTGCGAAAACTCCTTTGTCCTCACATCGATAAAAAAAACAACACTCAACTTCTCCACAAATCATTGCTTCCTAGAATTGCATTGTTCCCGGTACAGTAGGAAGAAGATAAATACTCTCTGTGTGTATTTAGGATTATTGTTCTTCTCTTTCCTGGCATTTCAATTAATGATGCAGATTCCACGACGATTTGATTCAAAGTCAGTCAAGATTTAATGGATTCCTTTTATTAGCTTCCGACAAATTGCGTTTTTAGTGAGGGAAGAGCATTTGCATTATTCATTTGTGAAAGAGCAAGCATTTACGAGTTCATTCGGTGTAGTGGTAGATGGACTCAGAGATAAACAGTGAATGACTAATCACAGAGGAGGATGAACCACGGAGAGATGAATCTGTTCTGACCTTTAACCTCACGTTTTGCTTGCGTAGGTGATCCAGCGCAGGGAGGATGGCTCGGTCAACTTCTTCAGAGCATGGGAGTCCTATCGTGAGGGATTTGGCAAGATCACCGGTGAACACTGGCTCGGTAAGTGACTAAGAGTGTGTGAGTGTGTGTTTACCATATGCGTACTGTGGCCTGTAATTCAAGATGAAACCCTGGAACTAGATAAGATAAGATTAGATCAAATAAGATAGAACTTTATTGATCCCAATTTGGGAAATGTTTGTGTTGCAGCAGCATAAAAAGACATGGCATTATACACTAAAAATTCAAAGACAAAGAAATAAACAAGAAAGTAGAAAATATACATGTTGAATTTACAAGTTAACAATAACAAGATACAAAGAAAGGTATTATATTTACATAAGTAGGTGACGGATGAAATATTACATATTAGACTGAATATATAAATGTAAAATGTACAGAGTGAAGAGAGAAGCTATGGAGGTGATTTGTTGTACAGCGTTATTGCAGTGGGCAGGAATGTTTTCCTATATCTGTCCTTGTGACAGCGGACATATACACAGTATTGTCAACGTAGGTCCATTAGTTGAAGTGTTATCTTGATTATAAGACCTAATAAAACCTTAACTCTTAACATCACCACAATGGCAGCCGCTTTGAGATAAGGCAGAAAGAAGGAAGGACGTCAAACACACAGAGTGAAATAATGACGAGTGATTGAGCGAGACAAATAGACAGCCATAGAAATGCAGATAGGGAGAGATAAGATGACTTCTCACATCATGAAGGAATGAATAATGAAAACCACTTGAGTGAGCATAATGAAGACGATTGCATCTAAAGTACAAGATGTGTGTAAAGTGCACTTTTATTATGGAAGTCTGTTCGGCACCACAATATCACAACACAAGCCAAAAGACGAGCAATTCAATTACAATATTTTAATTTCCACAAGGAAAAAACAAACAACAGTATCATTATTCTTTTTACTATAATTTGTTTTTTTCAGACTATGCTTGTCCAAATCCTTTTATTTCCTCCTGGCAGCATGACACATTAGTCCATGCCTCCACTCAGATTTGACAGGAAGAGAATGCCAACATAGAATGAATTTGACAGTGAAATTATGAACTTTTCTAAAGCCAAATTATTTGTCTTCACACCACTTCTCATTATATGTTACAAACAAATTCGTCTTGGGGTGAATACGCTCAGCTTCCACCAAGTTTGTGGCTCAAAGCTGCTCGCACATTCATATCACATGTTGTATTTATTTTGTATCTGTTCGCATTCACACAGACTACACACGTCATCGAGCGTATATTGAAATAGACAGCTTCTTCTTCCATCATAGAGTGGCCTTTCTAGCTTCCTTTTAATTGGTCTGACATTTGTTCAGGTAGCGGGAGAGACAGAGCCTGAAAGCAAATGTCTCACATCAGTTGTTGAGACTGAAAATGAGAAAAGCTCATATTAAGGTGAACACAGGACAAGTGAGTCAAACAGAAACAACTGCAGCGTTGAGTGTGACTCGCAAAATATAATCACATAATCAAAAGTTGTTATGTCTCCATCTCAACATTATCTTAACTATTATCCCTGTATACCTTTGTGGGATGCCTTAATATCTTGTTATTGTTTGTTTTCTACACATGAACAGGACCTGTGATGGTTAAGTGATTTTCCCTTCCCTGTAGAGTGTTATAAAGGTTTAAGTGCATGTAAATGGTCTGCAAAGGCTAAAATCCCATGTTACCTCCAGAGGGAGTTTATCTGAACATTAAAGCATGTGAACATGTCGCGGTAGAGGCAAAATATAGTAATATATTTACCTGAAAATGAGCCTAATATGGTCCCTTTAAAATAATGTTGTCGAGAACTTAACCTAAGGCACTTGAACGCCTCATTTCTGATCCCAGACGCTCCAGGGCTTCTGCTGTACCTGTTACCAGCTGTCGTACATACTGTGACTGCACTGTGATTACTTTCAAACTAAAGCAGTGAAATTGTGAAGTTGCCAACCGTCTGAAGCTTGCCAGATGCCCACAAGTGATGATTCATCACATCAAACAAAGTGTATGTGAAAACAACTTAGCTTATGAACTTCAACAAGAAAAGTCCATCACCCAATCAGCAATCAAGGGGATAAATATTGTGATAGTAAGCTATTTTATATTATTGCGAGTGCGTTACTGATCACCACATTTTGCCTGCTTACACAAAAACACCAGTCCCAAAAGCCCCAAGCATTTGCAGAAATGTTGTTTCCTGAGGACATTTGGATTGAGCTACAGTGTTAATGAGCTATCGCCATGCTCCGTCTGCGTGGGTCTTTAAAACCTTTCTTTGCTGTTTGCACACCATCAGACTGGTGGAGTAAGTGAAGCTTGAAGAAGTCTATTTCTGTAAAAATGAAAATCTCAGTGATTGTCAAGGTTGTGGACATGCCAAACCACAGCAGAGATACCCTCCAATGAGCACTCTACATTAAAGCACACACACACACACACACACACACACACACACACACACACACACACACACACACACACACACACACACACACACACACACACACACACACACACACACACACACACACACACACACACACACACATCAGGAGCATTACTGAGGTCATTAAGAAGTATCTGTGGGGAGCTCAGTTTTTCAGTCATGCTAAATATGGCCCTGACACCAAAGGGGGGCATTTGAGTGCAATGCCTGATCAGGGCACATCTATTTTGTTTATTAAGTCTGACTGTAATAATGTGTATTAAATGGCTTGATTACAATAGTATTGCATGCAAGTCTTAAGATAATCACACCAAAAAAATCCAGCCTCTCCCATAATGTAGTCATCAATTCCTCCATGAATTCCGTACAAAAGCATCTACAACGATATATTAAAATAAAATGTACTGTGTAAACAATATATCCGTTGTTTTCCATTACCATTTTCTACGATTGACACTTTAAAAATACAAACAATACAAACTGCTAGTGGAGCCTCGCAGATGGGGGTGCTGCAGCCCCCTCAGCAGGGGGGGGGCAGGAGTTCCAACAAGCCGTTTAGGACAGAGAGTGAATACACATACTATACAGAGATGCTGTATGAGAAACCAATGTGAGTTTGGAAAATTGTACAGTATAAATCTATTCTAGTAGACCTCAACAATGGAATTATGATCAGTAGAAATGGCCATGACATGGCACCTTTAACACTTGTGCCACCTCCAGGCAAATTGTTGCACAGCAGCAGTTATTTATTTTTGTATAGGCAGATTTCAGAGTGATTGAGAATCTACTAATTAAATGATTGATCAGGATGTGAACATGTAACTTTGGATATAAGCATGCAGGTTGACACAGCAGGTCTGAAACATTCGGGACTGTAGCTCTCACTGCATCTGTATAATAGTAAGTTTGCCTGCCTGCTTTTGGGTTATTCTCCACCTTCACCACTCTTTACCCTATAGACAGATAGAAATGCTTGCATAGACTGTATAGCGTTTGCAGAGGTTATGTGAATTAATGGGGATCTAGGTCTCTTTGCTTACCTGAGGCCATTGCAAAGTGCAGCACATAATAAAAACGTGGTTAGTGTGCCAGCGAGATCTCCCCATGGCACGTTGCAGGAGCATGGTGGGAATATGGAAAGCTCTGGATTTAGTACACTGAATTCCAATGAGCCAGCAGGCAACTTTGAACCTTTTAGAATACCCTTGCTCATCCAGTGTGTGCTGTTGTCTCGTCACCCCCATCATCGATTACCCTCAGGGCATAAATGAAAAATGGATCCATGCTTGCCTGCAGCCTATAGGAAGAAATTGCAGTAACCTCCGACAGCCAAGGATTGCTGACTAATGCCACCTCTGAAGATCTGCACATTTCTATTTTCATAAAATGCAGCAAGATTTAGTTCAAGGTGTTTGCATTGTTCTGAGCGTCTTTTATTTCGATTGCAGTAAAAGTAATCAGAACATGGTGAAAAAAAGGAGAATGCTAAAGGCAGAAACAAATTGTGCATTCTTTTTGAAAAGGACCTTCCTTCACTGCATAAGATAGTTCCTGAGAGATGTGTGCCGGATGTACAGTTGCAATCGAAATGCTTCAACCCCCATTACACATTCTGTTAATTGGCAAAATATACAATTCCTCAGCTGTTTGCAAAAAGCAAATTACACAAGGACTGTTAATCTAGTTCAATTAAACTAATGTTACAAGAGTTTTTATCCAAATTCAACACAAAATGCTTGTGTTGACTATTGCAGTCTCAAAATGGTTCAACCCCCTTTGTCAAGCACACCTGGGCAACTAATCAAGGGCTTAATTAGTTCTGGTGTGCTTGAGAAAGGACACATAAATACCTGGGTTGCGGTGGAATAGTCAAAAAATCAGCTCCTATCGTCTATCCCTATCGTCTATTCCTTGACATCTGTGTGAAACGTCACCAGGGTTGGGAGGGTAACTTTGTAAATGTAATCAGTTGCTGATTACTGAATACATGGCTCTGTAAGTATCAAGAGCACAACTGAAACATAACATCTGAAACGATGTAACAACATAATACACTTTT